TAGTTAATTTAGAAAACATATATACTTCATGAGATTTCAAAACCATAAAATGATTAGGAAGTACTATATAAACATAAATATAGTGTAACAAAACATTAAATATTTTAAAAGTTTAGGTGCAGTACTTTCCATTGTGTAGATAAAAATTTAAGATTGTTGAATTGGGGAATTGTAGTAGTTAAGGAATTACAAATACAAAGAAATTTAACAAAAAAAATGAAAATCTCAAGAGAGTGAAGTTAGTTCCACTGTAAAATTATTGTTATTTATTATATTTATCACAAACCAAAAGTTTATAAGTTGAACTTGCATAAAGTTTCAAGCACAAACGTTTGAACTTACATGCACCAAAAGAAAAACTCACAAATTCAAGGATTCAAGTGGAGCAATGGCAAAAAAATCTTGATATTAAAAGCACACATGAAAACTCATATCAACATAGCTTTGTTGCTTGATCAACATCAATTTAATTAAATAGGTAAACTCATAGATTATTTGCACAGAAAAGAATAACTGGCACAGTTCAAAATAACAGTATCCATTTGTATTCACAAGCTTTTTCACTACCCTTATCTACATGCTTTATTGTGTGTGTGTGTCAGTGGGATCATGTTTTGTTTTTTGTGAGGATTTAAGAATGAAAATATTTGAGGGCAGGGGGGGGGGTATGGTTAGAATGAATGATTGGAACTTGATTGCGAGCCCAACACCAATAAACACTGTAGGGAGACTATGCATATGTTGTGATATTACCATTATTATGAATAATATCATTATTATTCTTATTATTATTTTCAAATAGACCCAATAGAGGGGTCACAACTAAAAACACAAGAAGCATGGCAACTATAGTTTTGAGCTTCAAGAGGATGGGTGATATGAGTAAATATAGAAGGGTGAATGGATGTATCCCCTACTTTCAACTAGTAAATGAAAACCACAATAGATTAGAGAGCAGAAGAACCCTATCCCACTTCCCTGTTGAAAGAAAAAAAGAAAAAAGAAAAGACAAGGCAAGAAAGAAAAGCAGTGACGGAAAACGTTAAAAGACCAAAGGAAAAGATGAGAGGAAATTATAAGAAAAGGAAAAAGAAATGAAAAAGAAGTCTTGCAGATGCTTATCCGTTGTAAAATACTCTGTTATGCAGCTTTCATACCTTTACTTGTTTTGTTTTTGTTTTTTTGTTTTTCTTTATTCTCCCTTCTTTGCTGTAGCAGTAGTTGCTGTTGTTATTGCTGTGGTGGTGAGAGCATCTGCTACTGTTTGTCTGTTTGTTTGTTTGATTGATTGTGTGTAGGTTTGTTTGTTTGTTTGTTTGTTTGTGTGTGAGTTTGTGAGTAGGTTTGTTTGTTTGTTTGTTTGTTCCCAATTTGACCCCACAATGTCATTTCAGCACTCCCAACAATTGTGGGCTGAAAGATCTATCCTCTACTGTGCAAAACAATAATGATAAAAAAGAACTTGATTAATTTTCCTATTACTTTAATTCTTTTAGAAAATGTTAAAAACCATAAACAAAATTTGTTTTGGGGGTGTGACCCCACTCAAACTTGGTAGTGATCCCACCTAATTTTCACAACTCCTAGAGTCCAAAAAGTGGTTTGAATGCACCTTGGATGTGCTCTTTGACCAACTTGGTTTTTAATGGATATAATAAATCAAGTAGTGTACAGGTATTTTATTCTTTTGATTAAACAATTAGAGTAAGTGCACTGTGGATAAAAGAGTATTCCACAGCCAGAATCCCACTTTAATCTTATCCATGCATCACAACAACAATGCCATGTGCAGCAACTTCAAAACCCAATGAAGGAATATACGATGTTAATGTACTTAGCTGCAAGCTACACCAAACATATGTGATCAGTTGAAATTTGGCAAATGTATGAAAACTGTCTGAAATTGCATTCTATTTCACTAAAATAAATGAATAAAAAATAAATAAATACATTATGTCTAATTACTGTGGGCCCTTTTTTGAGGATTTCTTGTGTGAAACATAAGGCATAAAAACTTGAAATAATTACAAGAGACAAGCACTGATTTTAAAATTTATTATTATAAAAAATAAATAAACGATGTAGCTTGAAATATATATATATATATATATATATATACATACATATTCAAAGAAATGTTATTTTATAATTAATTAACTATTACTTATATATACACCAACACTGTATATGAAGAAGATGTGTTAATAGGGCAAAGGGTGAGCAGTCTGTTACTTTAAGTTGTTGTTGAGTATGTTGAAATTTCATTTTAGAAATTTCTGATTTGACATTCGTAATACTAAATCAAATGAGAATCATAAAACATAGTGAAAATATTACTAATCTAAAAATATCTCAAATTACAAATTAATTCAAAAATCCATTTATGCCTTTAAAATTCAAAATAACGTAAAAAATCATAAATAAAAATTTTAGCTGTAATTTGAAGATTCATTATCTGTTTTCAATCACTCACTCATGCAATCTATTATTAATAATAGTATCAAAAGTCTTATCCATCAATTCCTTTGTGTTTTTCACACCACTATAACCTTATATATTTTGTATTATTTTAATGTTTCAAGTATGCACTTGTGTTTTCATGTGTATATATGTTTCTTAAGTTTTGAATTGGAGTTTACAATATTGTAAATCCATTTCATCTTGCATAGAAAAGTCAGCTTACCAGTTATGTAATGTACTTGATAGGATTTTGTCAGTGTTACTCAGTAAGTAAAGAACTGATTTTACATGTTAAATTATTTAAATTGCTTACCATGTATACATATTTGACATATACACCATAAAATAGATGGTAAGAAATTTAAATAATTTGAATACTTCTGCCAAATAGCAATTCTATACTACAATTAAAATTCAAAACTAGACTACAAAATCACTCCCTTCGTATAAAAACTGTGGTGCATGGACAAAATCATGTGTTAATAAAAACATCATGATAATATAGTCCTTGTGTTCAAAGAGAAATACATATCATTTGGATGCATTTACACATCCATGGGCTGGCAAAACTGCCAGTTACTTGAAGCATTGAATGCATTGAGATCATGCACATGTATCAAACTTTAACGAGAAAAAAAAAAACATACTTTTTGAGAAACATTCAGAAATATATAAATTACTGATTATTTAGTATTTATTTATATAAAACCAGTCTAACCAGAATAGAATCTTGTATAGTGATAAAAGCACCCAAAAAATCATGCGTACAAGAGGGGAAGAAAATAAATAAATAAATAAATAAATAAAATGCAAATCGTAACCAGGTGATGAGTGCTATGCTTGAATTGGAGTTTCTCTACAAAGTTTGCATGGTGTGAGTCATTTGAATAAACCCATTCAGATAAAACTAATAAAGAGCCAACACAACCAACAATAGTTGGAAAAAATTAAATTGTAGTGCCATTCATCCTATCATGTTTTTTTTTATTAGTCTAATATTTAGTTTCACACATGATAATCAAAGAATCAAAAAAGAATTGATATTATGCACACAAAAAATATGTAAAATTGCAAAAAAATAAAAACTCTTTAATTCTAGTATGTGTAATTTTGGTTCATTGTACATAGCTCTAATATAAATTTCATGAATTAACGATAAATGTAGTAAAGTAAAAGTCAATAATATCATTCTCAAACATTGTACCAACAAAAGAAAATGTTTCATGTTTTGATATATCTATTATGGGAATTGAGGAAGAGAATAGAGGGGACTAGTTACCAAAACTTGGTCAATTTTGTAAAAACCCCGGTCAATGTATCAATTCTCATCTATAATATTGTTGTGTTATTATTTGTTGTCACCCATTTAAAAATGTTTGTGTGATGTTCACTACATCATAATTTATTTTGAGATTGTTTTTGTTTATTTCTGTTGAGAGATTTTGAAATATCACAACCATTTTCTTCAAAATTTTAAGAAGAAACTAAGATGTTCTTTTTAGGTCAACCATTTTTCAATTAAGGAACATCTTAATTCTTGCACCATGAACTTTTTTTTTTCTATCTTCATTTTACAACTGTCTCTGTAATATGATCATGAATATCGGCATCATGTAATATCGGCATCATGTAAATGATTATATTCGGCACACCAAATACAGACTAAAAATAACACCAGTAATGCTGGTCAGAAGTAGTCGAGAAACACAGAAACTGGGTCGAGAAGAGGAAGATCAGATTGATCGGTCTCGCGATGGGGATGAGATGGGACTGCATAACACTGACATGATCACAAAGAGGTGGCGAGCATAAGTGCCGCAAAAGCTAGTGCGAGTCGAAGTGTAGGAGCGGAGCAGATGGAATGCAGCACAATGAAAGCAAGGACACAGCATGGGTCGATGCAGGCAGAAAGCCACCGCTTAGTAGCAGGCATCGACGACGCAGCTAGCCAGGAAATCTCAGTCTATTTGTGTATGTGTCTCTAGCTTCCTGTGAGTGGTTGTGGATATGAGTGTGGCAATAGCGACAGTTTCAGTTCCGAGGAAGGGTGATCAGTGGTGATAATGCCTCGGCTTCCAACTCCATCGGTGACGCAAGCGCCACCACTGTAGCTCTACCTGGCTGCCACAGCGCACTCACAGTCCCAAGAATTGCCAGTCAACACGGGGGAGGAAAATCATGGCCCCTACCTGGCACCACCAATACTGGTGCCGCGAGAAGGACCAAGACACTTAGAACACGTCTAGACCACGGTGGAAAATGCGAGGGGGAAAAACCCACTGGGTGTGGAGGGTCATGACCGAGTGAGGTGGGGGGTGTTGAGTTGGCCTTGGCGATGGATCCCACACACAGAAACGGACCGCACCAGCAGTACGTCTACGTGGGGGTGGCGGCCTTCTCCGTCCCGCCCTCTTCCCTAGTCCCGGTAAAAGGGCGAAGTGCGTGGGGAAAAGGGCCGGGCCCGGATAGAGAGAGACTTCATGGGTTGAGATGGAGTTGTCCTTGCACGCGCATTGTCAGAGCTTGCAGGCTTGCTTACCATAGCCGTGCCACTTCTGGCTCAGGACAGACGCATGACGTTGCAGGTTCACCGCTATATTAACCCCTGCACTAGAGCTTGCTTCCACGTCTTGTATATGTCTCAATATCCCTGCATCAGCCCCTCGCAATTGATGTTCATTCATTCTTAACCACTGGTGAGTGGCAGTGTGGAGTTGCAGTCGGTCGCAGTGCGTTGACGCTGATCTGGCTTGAAAATCGGATTGTGGAATGGTGCATTTTCGTTACGAGTGTTGCAAGTCTGGCGATTGAATTCGATCTGGGGTGTAGATGGGCGCGACAGATGATTCTAGGGGAGATTGTCGAAATATGCGTTGTTTGTCTATCTTAATTTTGGACTCGCCGAATGATCAGTGTCTAGTAAAAGGGGTAGTTAATCTGGCGTGATGGAAACCTCATTCGTATTATTTCTTTGATCTTATGTGCCGTCCTCAGTGCCAATTGAAGTTGGATTTCGATTCCGTCATGAAGCCTGATGGACATGTAAAGTTGATTGACTTTCGTAATTACGAATTTAAGAGCTTTACGAGATTCTTTTGAGAAGTTTGCTAAGTTTCCACGTAATGATTTGAGTAATGTCGTTCTGGTTTTTCGATAATTCATCAAATGGAATTATGGCCGCGTCTTTCGGAAACTCGTTACATGCAGCAACCCGCTGTCAGTTGTCTTCATCATATATAATGCAATTGTGGCAGTCCATTAGAAGATGTCTGACTAATTTGAAGCGCTGTCCACTTCGAAGACTTTTCAATCCACCTGTCACTCTCGGCTAATTGAATTTGGTAACCGCCTATCTGGAGTCGGCTTTGATAGTAGCTTTCGCACGCCCGTTTTTGTTTGTTGCAGAAGTATCGTCCGGTGCTAATGCTGCGTGACGTATTTTTCTCTTGTAAGAGACGCCTCATCGCAACCTGGGACTCCAGCTGAAGCAGGCCTCTAACCTACTAGAAACCTACTCACTTTGAAGTTTAACACGGACAAGCCCCGTTTTCTTGTGTTGCCATCTAATGACACTGTGAAGTGCGGACAATGTCGGGACCTTTTCGGAACCGCAGAAGCACACGCACTTTGAGTACTGTAATTAGATTCTGCACCTGCAGTTGTCCTGCGAGAAGATCTCTTGCTGCTTTTTCCGCAGCACTTACTTCAACCTTGCGCATGCGATCACGCATGCTGTGGAGTCGCTCTCCTATCTGATAATATGCAGTGCTTGGCCCGTCGTATACGCTAAGTTTTACGTTGATTATACCTCATCATAGAGGTTAAGAATTGAAACTGTCAAATATCTCATCAGATAGAACTCGACAGACCCCTGCTTGAAGTACATCCTGATTCAACCTGCTCCAGTCTGGAAGGGATTGTTCAATAATTTATTATGGTTTGGGTTTGACCTCATTACTTCTTGTTGCAAGGATCGATTTTTAAAAGATTAAATTTCATGATTCTACAGGTATCATCTCTATATATGATATTACATTGCCTTCATTCCGAAGTGGGCAACCAATTCTGTCTCGTATATCCAAAGTACCCCTGCAATTATCAAACTGGTGAAGCAGCTGGAACGTCTCGCACCGTAGTGGAGAAAAGTTTAGTATTCAACACAAGCCACTAGTGCTACAAGGAGTACAATAATTTGATCGCCAAACATGGCTGCTTTTGTGAGTGACGGGAATTCGACCATCAATGCTGGACTACTCGCAGCCATCCTCAAGGATTCCAAGCAGTTACCCGAAATGTTCATCGAATCAGATCAAAATCACCGACCAAGTCTTGAATCTGCCTCCCTGGAAGACCCAGACCTCGACATTCCTGTCCTGGATCTCTCCTTCTTAGCCGCAGGCAACAGTACGCAGAGGGCTGAGGTTGTAGCAGCAGCAGCCAAAGCCTGCCAGACCTGGGGTTTCTTTCAGATTCAGAACCATGGAATCGATCAGAAGCTAATAGTTCAATGTGAAGAGGAAGCTCACCGCATGTTTCAGCTCCCCCTCGATGTCAAGGAGCGCTGTCACCGCGCGCCTGGCGCTACTTTCGGATACGGCGCCAACACATGGATCAACCAGAAAGTGATGCATTGGGCTGAGAGCTTCCATATGCAGCTCAACCCTACGTCCAACATTCGCGAGATGGCTTCCAAACTTTTCCCTGAAGGATCCTCCAGTCAGCAATTCAGGTACCGTGTTTTCCTCTAATGATCTTTGCAAAAGTAGTTTGATTTCCCTCTGTACCAACATGCTCATTGATATTCTCTAGTTTTCCGAAATGGACTGCGCTAATTCATTTTTCGAAACATAAGGAAACTGTCTTTTTGAATGTAGTCCAGCAGTTCTCCTCAAAAGGATTATTGATGGGTGGGAACTATAGGGATCCAACTTGTCGACAGTTATTAGGCAGCCCCTTGGTCCGTTTAGTTTTCCCAGAACCATGGATTTTTGTAGTTCAATATGATTTAGAGATGAGCAGTTGTCAAGTGGATTGTCTGCTTCGAATCAATAATCGTACTCTGATGAATATTTACGACCGCTCAGATCGACCTATTTTATTGACATAAATAAGAAACTGAGTTCCCGCTTCCAGGCATCCAAGATCCATCCAGATCGCGTCGCCTTAATTTAGCATTTCGTTTTGTTTTCCTTTTCCTCGCTGCTCTACAAGCGGCACAGCGACCAAGATGCGTCACCTTTCATGAGTTGACTTCAACGGCAGCCTATTTATGAACAGCAACTAAAGGTGACTGCAGACCTAACACCTGGCTTTCGAGTCAGGGAAGAATCAAACTCTTTTCTCTTGCATCACAATTCAAGAAGCCCTAAGGGATCTTTAAGGGAACCTAAAAGGCTACTAAAGTTGCATGACACAAACGCTCAGCAGTTTTTTATGAGAGGAGGGGACCCTCCAAACTTCTCGGTGGCCACCCTCACAGTTGCCTTGTAGTAGGAAGACAAACTCATACGTGAACCAAGCCTTAGAGGAGCATATTTTCTCGGACTGCGGAGTCAGATGGGACAAATAGTGTTCAACATTAACTTCGACTAACTGCTAGGCGTATAATTTCTTAATTAAGCAGGCACTGGTGAATGTTCCTGTTGCAGCAGGCGTTGGAAAAGTGAATTAAATGCAGTCAAGTTAAAAGGTTTAAGATTGTACTGTCGTGCGGGGTAGGTGGCGATTATATCCGATCAAGTTTACCTCTCGGGCGGTCTCACGGCGAGTTCATCACCTATATTGGACTTGTAATATATGGCTTTCATAAAGTCCCCAACTCGTTAATACGATGATTGTTCTTTCTGCCCTCAAGTAAATAACTTGCGTGGCCAGTCGTATGAACTGTGGGTATTCTAGAGCCAGGGGTAGTCGAGTACGACGGTGGACATGTGAGTGAAAACATTTGTTTATGGTCACGACAGGCCTTCGTGAGTGCTGTCTTTTCAATGCTAGAGTTCAAGTACTTAGAGGTTGGAATGTCCGCGTCAGTGTCAGTTCTCACTTCGGCTGGTAAGATTCGACTTGACCAAGTGGTTGAACTGGAACAGAGCGCTTGAAATCTGGTATCAAGGAAAAACCACAATAGTAGCTGACCATCAACCGTGATTTCCCTTTACCTGCCAAGATTCGATTCCATCTTGAAACGGTTGTAACCTGAAATAAGATAAACGTAATCTTCTGTCGTAAGGACCAAGGTTAAACCAATTTGTAGTGCACTAAATCAAGTTTCAGTTTGAGTTTGTTGATTGTGCTGGCTGACAGAAATGATTCTGGTTCGCAGCTCGGTCGTTGAGGAATACATGATTGCTGTGGAGAACCTTGCGAGTCAGGTGTTGGAGATTCTAACAGAGGGGCTGGGATTGGAGCCCAGCTGCTTCAGCCAGTATTTGCGACGTGAGAGGATGACGTCCATGCGTTTCAACTTCTACCCACCTTGCCCTGAGCCATCTCTTGCAATTGGGCTGCGGGCTCATACAGATCCTCATCTTTTGACCATCCTGCATCAGGACTCCGTCCCTGGACTCCAAGTTCAAATGGGAGACAAGTGGATCACGGTGAAACCGCGCCCAGATTGCTTTGTGGTAAATATCGGTGACCTTTTCCAGGTACTCGATCGATCATCAACTCCACTTTTTGGCCATTGGTCAGGTAGTGCCAAGGTCTCATCAGGAATTTGGAATATCTTGAGCATTCTCAAAGTTAAGGTACCAACATAGAAACTGAAAATGAATCGTTTGCGCTGATGTTGATCCAGATCCTGAGCAACACGCGATACAAGAGTGTGCTGCACCGAGCTATCGTGAACAGTGAGTCGCGGCGGTTATCATTGGCGTGCTTTCTTAACCCGCCTTTAAACTCCACTGTAGTGGCACCTCCCGAACTTATTACTCCTGAATGCCCCCAAGTCTACAGGCCCTTCACATGGCTGGAGTATCTCAAGAACGCTTACTTGTACCATCCGACAGCTGGAAATGAGCGACATGAGCGGTTCTTTCTCAAAACTATGGTTGACGTTCACACAGTGGCTCCGTCTTCCGTGCACTGAGAAAATAGTGTGCATTTCTATGTTCCATGAAAAGCTCAAATGCAAGCAAACCAATATTATTAATTAAATGAGATCACAGTTCTATTTTAGTAGATTTAAGGTGCACACCCGATGATATCAAGGTAGTCGATGATAAAGCTTATGTAGGAGAAATACAGCTCATGTGACCGGAAGGAGGGTAATTTAACTTAAACAATGATACATAAACTATAAGTAAGGACACCATTTACAGAAATATGAGCCAGGCAGGTGATAGAAGGTGATCAAAAGTGCAGCAGGTATGTGTACAAAGAGGTCCACAGGAGATATACTCGTGTCATAGACCATGTGCTGTCGAGTTTATCTGAAAACTGGAATGTACTGGTTAGCATGGAATTTACTATTAAACTTGGTGTGTGCACGCATCTGATTATCCTACACCAGATTGCACAATAACTTTACAAAATTAAGAAAGGATCTACATCAAATTTCACAAAAGAAGAGCAAGTTTCAACATATTCTTACATCAAACTTGCATGATTGCAAAGGCACGTCCGAAAGTATCCACAATCAGTTGTTACCTTCAACACTACACAATCGCACCTTTGTACAAGACTCATGAATTATAAGAGAGCTGTCCTAGAGATGAATCCGTAGCTCGCTGCTAGGCAACAGGCATTCAATAACTCTATGGAACAGATTCTGCGATTTTCGAAAAATATTTCGGCCGGTATCATGATGGAATTTCACTGGTACTCTGCCAGACTACGACTTAGTTTGTCACACACACCGCAACGGCTGCGGCTTCATGCAAGGTTGGCTACCATCGTGGGGGTTGCGCATGTTTCATGCAGAAGCACATGATCATCCAAACAACCCCCACAGATAGCCGCGTCAGCTGGCAAATTGTCTGTCGGTTGTGGGTTGTGAGCTCTGGTCTGTTAGGACACAATAAGATTGTTCCAAAATTCCCAAAATTTTGTCAACTTTTCAACTACGATCATTTACCATGTGCAGCCTTTCAATTACATCCCACCCTTGACCCTCAGTGCATCCCCTTTTCTACACTTCAATCTCGAGATTAGACCCTAGAATTCACACCACATTTGATACAGGTGGTAATCTTGGTCTTTATGGAGTAATAACGCAGCTCGAACTATCCAACTACTGCTGATCAAGGGATAGAGCTGGGACTGCAAGAGCACTACAGATCAGGTGGGTCTGGAAATTACAGTCTGAACACAATTGGCTGAGCAAATTGCTGTCTCCAGCCAAATAGGTCACCAATCCTGGCAGCCGATCACCACAATCATGAGCTTCTGACGGTGCCATAATATCAGCGACAAGGAAATGTAGGCTCTGAGCAATCGAAATTACAAGGATCGAAAGGCCTGGACAACAATCAATCAGTTTATAGAATGCGAGGGGTTTAATGGAGGATTTTGAGCACCTGTGCGGGGGTTAAAGAGAGACAAAGTCATCCGCGCTGCTGCACACGGATGCCAGGCTCCCACATTAACTTGACATCGTGCTCCGCAACAATCAATAAATTAGTGCGCCCTTTCCTTTGCCTGGTGGCCATGGCACAGAGAGCTTTAAGAGCTTTAACATCTTTAACGAGCTTTCTGAGGCATTAGTAGCTCCTTTGTATTCTTCCCTCTGGAAGGGCATGCACTCCGCCCCTGTACCACCTCCGCGGCAGACTCAGTCAGAGGGAGGAGGGAGCACCTTCTGACTCACGCGCATCATGATGCCGCAATCCTCATCATTCTCGCTGTGCTCCTCTTCCACCCTCCAGTTGTGTCCCCCTGCCCTACCCTCCCCTTTTATTACCAAACAGCTCCTGTCTGTTATGTCCCTCCGTACCTGCACCATCCCCACCTTCGTCATCACCATCAGAATCCCTTCGTCTCTTATCTTACAAAATTATCCCACTGCACAACACCAACTCTGAGTTCAGTAAATCCTGCGTCCATCCCAATAACTACCAAGGTTTTTAGGTCTAAGGTTAGGGTTTGGCCTTGCGAAGCATGATTGATATCGTGAAACCTCAAAGCGGTGAAGTCTTTACGAATGGCATGGAAAGCGAATGGTTGTTCACTTGGCTGTCGAGGAAAGGGCTAACAGCTCGGACCCACGACTTACATTATGATTAGCGGAATATCGGGGGATGCAAGATTCGGTAGGGAAAGTAGTCTTCTGGTGAGACCTCGTTGGGGGTGACGATGGGAGCTGGTCGAGTCCGACATGGGAGTAGAACAACGAAGAAGTCCAAATTGAGCTACATTAGGACTGGGTTTGTGGTGCACTGAGTGTGATCAGAGGCTCATTGTGTGGCGGTAAGAGTAATCATTTGCCCAAAAATTTGATAACCCCTAAAGTTCTGCAAATGGAATGTCTCGGCTAAAAGCAGATCTTGGGGAGTGATACGTTGTCCAATCCGAACCTGTATACTCTGACTCTCGCCAGCCGCTGTGAACTAGTCTGCGGAGGTTTTTCTTGCAGGTATATCCTCAGGACGTTGATGAGGATGTTTTTTTAATCTGAAATCGTTCTCTACACACTTACAGATTGATCTATTGCAGAAGACTCGCTTTGCAACAAACTCGAAGACTTGCGATAGCATTCTATCTCCGAGGCGTCATTTTACTGCCATGATGGCTGTTCACGAAGCTTAGTCTATAGAGATGTCACTGGTGGTTTCAGGGATGATGTGTTACAAGTCCAACAATATACGCATGTGGACAGTTCAAGCCCGTCGGATCATTCGTGTCCTATCTCATCATCTGTGATGTACCGAATTCCAGAGCATTCATGATGGTCATCAGCTCATTATTCAATTCTAGTACCAATTGAACAAATTACTACTGGCACGGCCAGCTCGTTGCACCGTCTGCAACAATTTTCTAACAATTTGCAAGGAAACCGCCTTCACTACATCGCTGTTGATTATGACACCTTGACGCGTCTTCACATCCGACTACCCCGGCAAATAATTTTCAGGTCTGTTTTGATGATCACGCTCTGACACCCCTTGACAGAGCTTGTCGACGAGTTTGGAGGCAACCCAACGTAGGTAACCACTCATGTAATTACAATTCACCTATATAAATCAACTTTCCCAATTACGCTGCAACCACTCACTCGAAAGTGCAAAACATCAACCAATTGCAAACCTGAAGCAATCGAGTGAGTCGATGCCAGCAGGATCACATCAACAGGCATAGGGGGTTACTGGTCATCCCATTAGAAAAATAAACGTTTCATTTTTGCAACCGTGTTGTGGACAGATTCAGTCTCGGATGTCGATCAACAGAGAGTACTGGAAAGCAAACGAAAGGTTTCAATGTGGCCATGAGAGGTTGGCCAGTTGTGAAGGCTTGTCTTTAACACTCAGCCTCTTCTGTTCGTTGTCTAGCTACTTAGCTACTCCAAGCGGATCTCGCCAATCTGAGTGCATCTAATCCTGTCTTGTGTTCTGGTGTCTTGGAGCCCACTATGTCAACGGTCGGCAGAGTGGGTGCGTATCATGGCGAAGCAACAATGTAATTCATGACTGCATGCTTTATTGCCAGTTCTATCAGAATGCCAACGGTCACGTCTCCCTTCTAGGTCACATGCGCTTCTTGTCAAAAGCGAGTGGTCTTTTCTGTCACGTCCCTGCTAGCTCACAAAGGTGTAAAATATGAAATTGTCTTTACAGTGAATGGATAGGTTCCTAAGATGAGTTGAGAGAGTGCGTTCAGGTCAAGTGGGTAACATGTTCTCAAGATATGGATATCATTCAGTTATCCAAACATGCGAACAAGAAGATAACCAGATAGAAATCAAGTCGAGAAAATAGCAGTGTGAGGTGGAAGCAGTTTTAGTCATTCAGATGTACTAGAACAATATGGATCACCTCTTTCGTACCAAATATAGGCCACGAATTCAACTTTATTCAGACAAAATTGTTTCAAATGTGTACATTAAGGAACTGGTCTACAACAGAAACATTCATGATGTTGTCATTCACAAAGCCCACAGGACCATCAATAACCAAAGTAATGACCAATAGAATGCGACAAAAATTGCAACCCTAATTTACCTATATATAAAAATAACTTCAATTTTCAAGAAGTGTTTGGACTCGCATTCATTCTTATAAAACTGAACCTCGTAGCAGAATCTAAAGCCTAAAGCTGCCAAGAGTTTGTCCTTCATCGTCACACATAGCTGTAACTCTGTACAGGTGATTAATGGGGTTTCCAATCCAAACTCCCAGTGAAATTCCTACTAAAATTTGCTACTTTCGGACCGATTATAATTAGCAGACTTGAGTAAAAATGATCCTTCCGTCACTACCTCTTCTGGATCCGCGGTTCCCTTGGTCGCAAGTGGTTGGGAAGCCTTTCGTGTTTGGTAGCATCTCTCGCAAATCCGAACAGGTAGAAAGTGTCCTAGATCTTCTAGAGGAAGTTCATAAGAATAAGCACAATTAAAGCATAGAACCTGACCACAATTTTTGCAGTGATGTCTGGTGTCGCTTGCCATGATTTGTATCTGACAAGAATTGCATGTGTCCGACTGCACAGGAAAGAAAATATAGAACTCAAAATCCATTTCATGAATTAACTATACATCAATACTTAAAGCAAGAGCACCCAGCAGTTGCAGCCAAGAAGATGCACAAAATTCTGAAATAATAAACAACAAAGAAACTCCTCACCGCTACTTACGGAACTGATATAATGAGTAAGAGAAACTTTCGAGTAGAATCTAAACGGGTACACCACTTTTTGAAGGTAGGATTTACACAGCTTAACTTCACCTGTGAAACTAGCAGAGGCGGGCTCTTGGAAACGTCGTCCAGCAAGGTCCATGAGACTACATGACCCCCACTATCACCACTGCACAGCTGCTTCAAATCATTACCAAGACAAAGTGCTGTGACAGGTTCCTTATGCCACGTTAGCACTTTAATAAGAGTAAGCTGGTATTCCGGTGTCCCACCAGTTATACAAAATTTGGTAGAATCCTCTGTAACCTCTACACCGGAATTCATCCTTTTGATTCCTGAAGAGGCTGGCAAAGTGAACCAACTTGTCCGTGCCTTGTTCCCTGCTTTTCCTGGGGTTGTGAGCGGATCACACTTTGTGCGCAACAGAGTCATCCTGTTACTACTTGAATGACTATCGAACTGCATACACCACAGCCGGATCATCCCCGACTGATGCCCAGTTATATACCAGCCAGCCTCTGTCCATTCCGGAACTTGTGGACTTGTGATGGAGAGAATTAAATCTGAGTAGGCATGGGAGGTATTTACAGCAGCTAAACAGTCACCGTTGATGCTCCACACTGTCAAAATTAAGCCCACAGCAGTCACCACTTCACCGCTCATGTCATTTATATGAAGGGAAGTCGCCGGCGTAGGCAGCTCTGGCAGTTGGCGAACATACTCGAGACTAGTCAAGTCCCAGAAAATAATGGTCCGATCCTTAGACGCACTCACCACAAGACTGTATGACTGGGAGACTGCTAAGCAAGTCACAGCTTGTGTATGAGCACACAAAGCTCGTTGCAGTTGAAGTGGTGAACTGTTGTTCATTGGAGCTATAAACCGCCATACTGCTACCACTCCGTCCTCCCCACCTTTCAAAAATAAATCAGGTTAGATCTTCAAGATCATAATGCCTAACAGAATGAGTTCACAAACCTCATGATCCATTAGTCAGCACAAAAGGAACAAATAACCAAGGTATGAACTGCAAAACACTCTCTTGTATACATACTGTAATGATTTTTTCGGTTACCTGTGACAAGAATTTGGCCATCCCTGCTGAAGCCTGCACATGTTACGGGCCCATCATCATGAAGGTTTTCATGAGTTGAGAGGACCTTGTCTTGGTCATAAGACATGAGCCGCAGACTGCGATCGGGGAAGCCCCATGCGACATACTTGTCATATGTGGGTGGTCGCAAAACCCTATTTTTGATAGCGATAAATGGTGTATTTTGATATAATAGGATCTGAGACACCCTTGATCCCATCATGCGTATTTCCTGCAAACGCAGCAAGACCCGAGCACAATGAAGAAATGAATCAATTGCCAGATCATCAAAACGAAAATTAATTAAAATTGCAAAATTAAAATGCGAAAATGGAGCATCGAAACAAATGCGGACTATTTTTGGACGAGCAGGGATAGATGAATGATAACCTGGGGAACAATCGTGTGGTTGGAATACGGAACAAGTGTAACAGCAGGTCTTGGAACCCATTTCCGCTTAGGGTGAGGCTTGGGAAAAAGCTGGCGAGGAGTCTGGCCAAAGTGGTTGATTTGAGCGAGTATAGCAGCTTTCATAGCTGAGTCAGTGACACTGTCGATGTTGACTGCACCTTCGTAAGTCAGATGATAAAACACGTTCGTAGCCTCAACAGCGGCCTGTCCACAACAGCACAAGTAAGAGCACCTTCATGCTAACTTCGAATACATTTGGATACATCGAAAGTTTGGCAAGCTTGTTTCTCGGTAATGAAATTTACCTTGCCGCGTTGCTTATAACCGAAGATAAGATCAATCCAGTGGTGTAGGTTCTCTGACACATATTGAGATTCCAGTGCTTCACGATGCTTACGAATAAATTCTCTTGCACTGCCTTTAGCCCAAGGTGGCAACTGCACGTGATCAACCTAATAATTGGACAATAACCAATGCAACTGATCAATGGCCTATACATTGAGGACAATCTCAATGGCCACAAATGTAGCAATATATCAAGAACGATTTAATGACCGATTATAAAGAACTATGATGAGTTATCTCTAACATCACACCTTACTTCCAGAAGCTTACAACTGTGCCCTTTTCAAGTAGTAGATACCATTATTGGATCCCATTCTTGAGCGACTGACTACATGAAAGCATACATTAAGTGATGAATGATTAATAATCAAAGGATTCATTGGATTCTACAAACAGTTTTCAAAAGACAACTTCACCTTTTCTCCCGATTGTGTCATACCAAGATCGAAGTTAAACTGATTTTCCAAAAACTCAGGCAGGTAAAAGAATTCTGGAATAAGTTCTTTAACATCTGCAGTGTTGCCTTGACTGGCACTAAGCCATGTGTCTAGCAGGCTGCTAAACAGGCGGTCAGCATGATCAAACTCCCCACCCTGAAGCTTCATATTCTCCCAACTAAAAGGAGGGAGACGGATGAGATAGAACAGCACAATTCCTGCACTTGAATAATGACTTCCGTAATGAAACCTTGGTATATCAGAATCATCCCAATTTTCGTACCTGCAGAAACGCGAAGCATACTTAAGGTTAGTGAAAGATGCTTTATAAATTCAACAATAAGCAAGATAACCCACCACAGCTACACACTGGAAAGTAACATCAGATTTAGAATACAAGCCTGTATTCTCAGGGTATTCCTCATGAAAGAGTCTTGCCATAAAGATCAGCACAAGAGGTTTCAGGAGCTGTGCCGAAGCCAAATGGCATATGCAAATTGGCACTAAGGAGGACGAGGTATCACAATAGCTGCATGCCTCTAACAATTCTAGCCATAGAACGCCATTCTTCTTGAATGGTAGGTGTTAAATGCGTCTTTACATCTGCGAGTAGCAAATAGATATCCACAACCACCAGCCTTGTATTGTAGCGTATATGTGGTAGCATAAACCATGGTTGGTCTCCGTTAAAAAATTTAGTCAACTAAGCAGCACATGCAACATAATGTCATCCAATCCATACAAGATTCTGCATGCTAGTTGGTGCTTTTACCTTGTCTTAAAAGATTCCTCCCGAGGTGGATGGAGGGCACCCATGGGTTTCTCTAGGCATCGGAAAGTCTCTGGCTTCGACAAGTCTAGCTCCTCGCTTTCATAATCAGCAAGGATCCAGGGGAAAACGGGATATTGCGTGAGGTCATTGTATCCTCTGCCAGCTAGTGTGTTCAAGTGCATGAGATATTGAAAGTTACTAATTTCTCCATTTTGCCACCTGCGCCAAGCCAGAAGCCCATCAATGTAAATTACTGTGCTTCATTGTATATGTGCCAAAGTAACGAATTCCACTCCTTTAAACAAAACTTCCTAAACAATATGGGTGATTTCTTTAGCTTCAGCATACCTCTTACTGAAAGATCTTGCGAGAATCTTGAAAAGTCTTCCCCCTTCATTGCCCTCTTGCTTGGAGGCACCAGAAATAGTAGTATCCAACCTAATCAAAACGAAAAACAGGAAATCTTGTTACTTGCGGATTATAAAGAGAAAAATCAGGACCTTGATATTTACTGTTGCTGAACAGAAAACCTCCCAAAGTATTGCGAGCACTAGGAATAAAGAGAATTGAACATGAGACAAATATTGAAATTCGGCCAGTAAACAAGTTACATGCTGTTCCGGGGAAGATTCTGAGCCAGTAGATTCTTGAAGACTTCATCACGCTCATTCTTGTGGAAGACAAGTAAGTCATTAGAGCCATTCACACTGAAAAGCTCAATGGCCACTGGACGGAGCTGATACTGCCTCTTCAGAAGCTCATGCACACTATCCAACTTCCACGTGCGCCATCTTCGACGCAAGTTGGGACCAGCTCGAACCTGTGAAAAAACAAACCAACAAAGAATCGCGTTGATGTCCTCACCATGCTCAAACCTAAGTTGAAAGTTGAATGTGACAAGTGATAATATCAGACCAGAAAAGCTACACTTCATAAATTATGAAAATTTAAGCTATAATAGTGCTCCTCAACTCCCAAATATGTTCTTGAAACAATTCTTAAAGCAAAATAACAATTAGGAAAACCTGCAATGTAAAGGAGAACTAACCTTCTCCTTCCCCCAAGCACCTCCATCATATGCCCACGCCCGACCACCAGCCCAACTAATAGGCCCTGATTCAGCAATACTTCCAGATGATTGCTTCATCCCATCTTGAGAATCGTTTGATCCAACCATTGAGACACCCAGTGCCTTGTCGATCACGGATATGTCCCCTTCATCTCCTTTCTCCTTGATACAACCATCTTCTTCATCAATGAAGTAGTTATCAATCATGTAGAGGCACTGCTCTCCAATTAAAAAGATACCGTCTCGTTTCTCCAGCCCAAGAACTCGTTCACAGTTGTACCGGAACTTCAGCTTCTCGCCAGGTTCTAAAAAGGGCCGTATCAAATACTCCCCATCCTCTAGAGCAGCAACTTTCGTATTCTGAGCATCCATAATAGGTTCGTTATCTTTCGAATCACGCGGAGACTCCAGAACCTCCTTTCCACCTGCTTGACTTCCTCTTTCACTTCGACCGCGATCAGGGATCTGAGATTCTTGAATGGCACTATTACTACGTTGATCATCAACCCGCTGACCTAGTGCATACGAAGAGTCTCTATCGTCATCCACACCCTCAGCTTTTGATTGATACTCCTCTTCCTCCATGGCCATATTAAAGTCCTTGCTAAGAGGGATTATAAGGTGATCCATAGACAAGGGAGGTGGGGTTGCTTCCTTTTCCAAGCTATCTCGTCGACAATACTCAGGTCCAGGAGTATCTTCTCCCTGATAATCAATACCCGATAGTAAGAAACGCATTAGGACGTAAACATCTACTACCATTAATCAACCAAAATTATTTACTGTGTAAATCTTTAACTGGCAGAACTAACTATATTTCAATAGCAGCGAAAACTTCAGTACGCAATGTTTTCCAGACCTCGAGGCGGGTTTGATATATGTCGATCTGATTTATTTTCTGTCGCTCCAGCTTCTTTCGCATGCGAAAAGGACCCTCGGTTGCACACAATTGCCAATTGGGTTTTCCATTAGCTGCTGTCATTGGCCAAAGACCACGTTCATGAACCAATTGTTGAATCTGTTCTGCCCACTCACTTTCAGAATGGAGTATCCAACTGTACTTGTCTTGTCGCAGCATTCGCAGCTCAGCTGCAATAGATTCCCGCACTGCACAAACAAAACTTGAAGACTTTAATTGCTAGAGTCCACATGTGGAGAATGCTTGCTGGTATTACTCCTGGACTGAAATCCTCTACACGTAGATTCACATTGAGGCGAATTTCGACATTGTAACGAAGCCTTTTACAACGCTTGTAAGGATGGCAAAGAAATTATTAAAAATTTACCTTGCGCAAGCCCACTACGGCTTTTGGCAACTTGCTCACGATGTGAATGGTCAATCTTTGATATATCTCTCGAACGACGAGTCATTTCCCTCTTCCGTCGCCCCTCTAAGGGTTTGATTCTAACCCCTGGAAAGCGTGAGGCACCTTGCACATACTCTTTCCAAACAACAGCTGCCCGTTGCTCAAGAACCTTGCGTACTTTTTCATAGTTGTCTTCAATCCACTCATAGAATGCTTTAGAACCCACCGTGAGTAGAAGATTGAAGCCATTGTGCAGCACATCGACGTTCAACGCACCCTGCATAGCGATACATACTCAAAATGATATTAGTACAGCGACGAACAATTTCTGAGATTAAAGGACAAGGTGAATTGATGAAATGACAGGATAAGCAAGATAATATCATGTACAATAGATAGTATTCTGTATAACAGCATACCTGCGTTCCTCTCCAAATCAGGATATCTTCAAGAGCAGAGCTTCGATACGTCACAAGCGCCCTCCAAACATCTACTGCTAAGTTACGTGTACTTGGCTCAGGGTCCCAGAGAAGAGGTGTAACATTCCAACAAAGTGCACACAACAGCTCTGCGTCCACGTTACTTGCACAAAAAACCAGCTTCTTGTTTGCAAGAATTAGCTGCAAGACAGTCGCTTTGTCAATTTCCTGCGAGCTAACCCCCGATTCTCCAGAACCTCCCTCAGCGGTATGACGTAGGCTGTCAAAGCTACGAAGAAGACTATCTGAACTTCGTCGGAAAGACGTAGATAAGGAGTCTTCCCCAAATCCGTCTGAAGGTGAGCTAGGCAACAAACAGTACATTATCATGCGATTTGTATTTTTCAAAAGGGCTTGTACATAAGGCTCCAATTGACGACCTCCCCCTCTTGCAAGTGCGAGTAGGCCCTTCCCGGCAGGTACTGCCTCTTCAACACGCCCATCTGCATTGGCCAGTTGGAGCATTGCAAGAAGGAACTCTAGAACCTTAATGGCGCCCCCCGGATCCGAAAAGGCTCCCATAAACATACGGTCGACCAAAAGCCAACTCAATGTATCAAGGTTCGGTGCCCATCTGTTCAATCGAACAACAGATATTACAAACTAACACTGTTATTGCAGAACAGCCCTAATCTTTAAATTGTAATTACTGTAAGTAGGAAAGTCAGAAAAAATGAGAAGTTAATATTGCAGGCCACTAACGCATTTCTTGCTGCAGGACATACACAACCGAAGTTGTTTCAGTGCAAAACCTCACACGAAGTTAACATACAAACCCAATAGAACCCCAAATAAAATAACGGCATAAATATCCAAGCAGAGGATGTAGTAAGTAAGTCGTGTAACAAATATAGAAAATATTGATAATGTGCCTATGATGACTTGGATAAGGTGAATTAGACCTGTTCTTGTCAAGCTTTTTTGCATGCTCTTCTTCATCTCGTAGCAATCTCCGCTCAAGGAAATTTATCATCCGACCAAGACAGAGACCCTGAAAAACGAGCATGGTATCCAAACCAGCAAAAGTTGGAACAGCCTCTATGGCAGCCTCAACAAGAGCCATCCCTTTCACCTGCTCAGTTAAGGTGTCTGCCAAGACCTCCGCAATCAGGTCTAGAATTGCAGCTGCACCTGCAGCGCAGGAGCCTCCGGAAGATCTCATACATTCTAGTTGCATTAATAACTTCGGTGTCACAATTGCATCTGAGCTGTCCCTGGGAGTAAAACGTCCTGACGAAGCCACTCCGAACTCACTGTAGAAAGAGTCCACATCACTGCGAGGAGTGGAAGAAAAAAATGTAGATGCTCTATGTCGTGAGCTTGAACCCGCTTCGCTGAGGGAGATATATGGACCCGCAAAGGATGAAAATGTCCGAAGCCGAGAGAAAGCCTCGTTAGAAGCTTCGTAAAACGACCCTGCTGACGAGGAAGGAATATCCTGAGCCTGGGGAATGGCCACAGAGCTTGAAGCATGAGAAGGAGTTGGAGAGTCAACCCGACCCCATCTGGGTGAACACTCCACATCTGCACCGAAAATCGAGTGTTTCGCAGGTCGTGAGAATTTCATAAAATGATAGACTAAACAACTACACCATATTCTCCGAAAGAGACTTTTCTATAACACATTGAAGGGCGCTATCTTAAGAAAAAGAAAATGAAAAAGAACTTCCACAAAGCAATGCATGTAACATAACTACTCCATACTAAGACTAACAGTTCGAACGGACTGCAGAAGAGATATAGAAGGACAATACAATAAGCCTCTACAACTCTAATATGTCAGAACTTTGACATACCACGAGTAGATGGAGACGAAAGTCCGGATGTCTGTCCATCATATTTGGGCGAAGATGCGAGAACCTCCATATTAGTGTCATAAAACAAGTTGTGAATTGTTTCTATGGGAAAGTCTGAGAAAGCACGTGCCGCGATATCACCAGAAATTCCTTTATTTAATTTCACTTCGTGATCACTCAATCCATTCGCCTTCTGGTAGTCAGATTCATTAACATCCAAATGCAAAGTATCATCAGCGTAAGCAAAATCTTCCCCTTGTTCCGATTGCTGTGTTTGAGCCAAAGCTTCCTGAGCAGATTGAACTGCACCAGCAGATCTGTATTACCCGTTAAAGAGATCAATCATAACACTCTTCAGTATAAAAAGAAGAGGAAAAAGCGGAAAAGATAAAGAAAACAAAGTAGTGTTGCACAAAGAAAACTATCTTCATCAACTCATCTGACACCCAAGAGTTCACGATTCGATAGGCAAAAACAACCGACCAGACCAGAAAATTGACATCAGAAACTCCGTAAGCTTTCGTAAGATCAAAAAAGCATTTTATCATCGAACTGTGGAGTATTGAAATTCAAATCATTATGGTCACAATCACTACCACAACACAAATACACGTCGCAACAACATACAAGTAATGTCTCTGACATACCTCGCACAAGAGAAGTAGAGATCAACAAAAGACTCCAAAATATCCATGCGCCTGCATGCGAGGGAAAAGGGATGACACATTTTGGCTAGATCGACCATAAACCGCAATATTGATGTTATCAATGCAGGTGCAGCGGCCTCTCCGCCCATGAGCCGTGCAGCATACGTTTTGTGCAACAGAGCCTCGCCCTGCAAAAAACCCTCCAGGATGTTCAATCTCGAATAACTACAGCACCATCACTGAACTACACTTACATATACGAAGAAATTTACTACCCAAGCGCAGTAGGTCTTTTCTAAACTACAGGATTAATTTGAACATAAGAAAAGGTCTGCAATATAGCAAAGTTCTGTAATAGATTACCAAGATGAATTATCTAACATGATAACGGAGAAGAAAAAATCATACCTGTAAAGCTTCTCCAGCATCTTCCGTCACATCAGAATAGCTCCGAGCCAAGGATGCCAATTCGGAAAAATTTCCAGATTGTTGGGCTGTTAGAGACTGTTTGCTTACTCTATTGAAAGCAGCCCTGCACATGGCTATAACTGCCTCCAGCAACTCTGGAAAGGAAATTTCTCCAGATTTCCCATCACCAGGTAGCAGGGCATGAAAATCTAGCATTCGCACTTCCGGTTGCCTGGGGTACACGGACTGATTAAACACAAGCCTGAAGAGAATGAAATAAATGTCGGGAGAGTCGAAGAAACTAGGCATTACACGTGTTACGTGTTGGTATCCTCCTGTACTCTTAAATTTGGCTGCGAATGTAGCTGATGTTGCTAGACAAAGACCTAGTAATGTAATTACTCGCACCATACTATCATGGTGCACAGCCTCATCCAAAAGGAATGTTATCACTTTCGTGGACACAATTCTGTTCCATTCCTCAAGCTTAACCTCGTCAGACTTGAGAAAATACTGTAGATCAATCAGTTTGTCTAGTAACATGTTCCTGACTTTCACCTGCAAAAAACGAACAAAATTTGAGTTTACGCAAGATAGTTCTGGCATCGAAGATCCAAGGATGAATAGTTCCAACAATGCCATAATTAATTCAAATGCAAAATACGAAACATGTGTCACACTAGCAAGTCCTCGTCGGGCGATGTGCGTTCTGAAGAACTACTGTTCATAACGACATAAACCAGCAGAAGAAAAAGCAAAAAAACTAACCATAGTTCATGATACAGAAACATACCTGGTTGGTCTTAGAGTGCTCACGTGAGACAATAGGAGTGCCTTCAACTAATGTCGAGGGATCAAATGTCATCACCACAAAATCTGCCACCACCTGAAGTTCTGATGAAACGAATCCGTCTTGCAAGATCAACTTAAGAATCTCAACAGCAGCCTCAAATACTGGCGTTTCTACATCTCGTTGCAATAACTCCAGCAAATGGTGCATGAGATTAAGCCTCCGGAGGACTGTCATGTTGTGTTTCCGGTAACGCTTTGTGGATACTAAACGACCAATAAACGCCATTACAGCCAGTTGTGTAGCAAGAGGACACTTTGGACTGGACCAAAGCGTCCAGTCTAAGAAAACGTGAACCATAATATCAGGATTAGATAGTATACGGCAATCGTCAACATCCCCAATGCTTGCGTCAACCACCCCAATATCAGAAATTCCTGGCCCCGTGGAACTCTCGGGGATTCCAAAACTTTCAGCAGTATCAAAAATAGAATCATAAGATGAAACCTGATCATCGAATTTAGAAGGATTACTAGAGACATCAAACCCAGAATCCATCCCAGAATCCATGTGAACAAGTTTGGTGATGGAGTCGGGCACCCCAGAAATTTGTCGAACAGGCTCTTGAATAGACATCATTCTCTGCAAGTAAGCTGGATTTTCTACTCCAGAAAGAGGTTTCACTGAAACTGCAGCTTGGCAAGAAGCAATTTCGAATAGAAGGTCAAGACATCGTTTATCAACAGTGAAGTAGTTCATTCGGTGGTGAAGGAAAAGGGCTAACAAATGATAACCATGACACTTCTGCATATCCCGTGCATTCCGAGGATTGTATTTCAGTACACTGTGTAACAGGGACAAAGCTAGGTGTAGCATTTCCCAAGACTCCGCAGCTTCCACCATGGCCAGGACCACAGCCACGCCCCCAACCTTCCGCATATTGTCAGCAATGTTTAGTGGAGTGCAAATATGAATATCACCAAACATCTCTGCATCGCGAGGTATGCCTGCAAGATCCGTTTTGAAGGCCATGCTATAAGGCCATGCGATGTTTGCTTCACAATTTTTAAAAAGCACGTTCCTAACCAAGGATACGAATGAGCAATGAACAAGGTGAGCAGCACTAGTATTCGGAAGTACGTACCACCATTTAAAGAAGCACAAGCTGACGTAGAATCCACGAGATTCACAATCTTAACAGCTGCTGTAGATACATGTGCATTTAAGAAAGTACCATCAAATGCAAAAATCAGCTTTCGACCTGAGAGTTGTGCAATGTTAGCGAATTTCTCCATATCCCAAACAATTCCAGTCCCTTCTACCTTCGCCAAACCACCCGCTGCTGCCCTGACAGATCCTTCTCTCTGAACAACAGAACTCGGTTGTTGCTCAATATCTAAACTTTCCAACACAGCAAGGTACC